TCCCTACAGGAAATCTGAGAAAGACTGTTACACGGATGTGGCCCTTCCTCTCTTTGAGAACCTCAACATCGTGGAGCAGCCCGTAAACCTGAGCAGTCTGGCCCAGAAGTATGCTGAGAAAGCAACCCAGTTCATCCAGCACGCAAGGTAAGAGCCGCCCACCTCTGCCTCTGCCCTCCCTTCCACATTCGGTCTCCTGACCTCAGACGTCTCAAGGCCAGGGCTGAGTCTCATCATCCAGCCAGAATGAATGCACATGTGTGTCCTGTAAGTAAATGTAGAAAACCGCTCCCCCTGGAGGTCTCTGTCCTGGGTTATAATGTTCTCAGGATTCCTAGAGGCTTATCCTCGTCCTGCGTTGGTTATGTTCCATTGCCATTATTTTGTCCTTTTCTACCAGGACATAAGTTTCTTGAGGGTAGGGCCTGCCCTATACAAGGTGTTTGTCGAATTCGTTCGTTGGCAGAGTGTATTAGTGTCTGATTGCTGCTATGATGAATGACCACCGATTTAGTGGCTTACACAACAGAAGGTTATAGGTCTATAGACCCTGTAGGTCTGGAGACTAGATGTCTGAAATGAGTCCTGGGGGACCTGTAATCACGGTATTGACAGAGCTGCTTCCTTCTGGAGTCTTGCCCCTTCCAGCTTCTGGTGGCTGCTGGCATTTCTTGGTTTGTGGCCACATCATCCTAATTTCTATTTTATTATTCCCTTGGCATTTCCTCTTCTGTGGTAAAATTTTCTTCTGTTTCTCTCTCATGAGGATACTTGAGATTATGTTTAGGATCCACCAAGAGAACCCAGATAATCTTCTGTCTCAAGGTGCTTAACACAATTGCATCTGCAAGGTCTTTTTTGCCATATAAGGCAACTTTGATATATTCCAGGGATGAGACCTTTGGCATATTCGGGGGCCTTTGTTCAGTCTGCCACGCAGGGGTTACAGATTTCAGCATCTACAGGCCCATGTAGATAGCCACGAAGAGGGAAGCAGGCTAAGTGGAAGGCGTCAGAGAGCACTGGGGCCTGCAGTAGACTTGTAAGCGATATTCGCTTAAGGACAGCCACTGGGGCTCCTGGTGCTTGTTGTTTCCTGAGGGGAATATGAGCCTGGGCTGTCAGATCTTAAAGCGGAGACAGAATACCTGGCTCTTATGGGAGACCTCCTGCTCTTTGAATATTAGAAACTATTAGTTAAAAATCACAAAGTGCAAAAACAAAACCATCCCGCAGTGCACATCTAACAAATCCTGTGTGAAGGCTGCTGATTTGCAATGCCTGTCAGAGCCGATATTGTGAAGCAGTGGATGTTGGCAGAATTGTGCATACCCGTGTACATGCGAACATGCACCGTCATGCACTGTCACCCCTCCCCACCACCTCCGGCCTCATCCTGACCCTTCTTGACTGCTCTTCTGCTGCTCCCCGCGTGAGTCCATCTTGTTCTCCACAAGACTGTAAACTCCTCGAGGGCAAGGAGATAGGAGGAGGGTCTTTGGTATTTTCTAGCCTGAGTCTAAGCAGTCAGGAGAAAAAGACATACCCCACAGCCATCTGCTTGTGCAGAAGGAAAAACGAGTTCTACCTGTGGATGACTGGTCATACCAGCTCCTTGGATGGGCAAGAGCCTCCCACCCCTGTTCAACCATGGTGGACTTTTCTAGAGAGGTCAGCAAGGGCAAAGGGTAGAGGTCACAATTTAGAGATTTGGTTGTCACGTTTTCTTGATAATAAAACCTTCTTAAGGGCTTAGTCTCAAAAGCAGCCCCCGGGAACCAGCAGTTAGCGTAATGGCTATGTCGCTGGACTCCCACGTAGTTGACCGTGGTTCGCGTCCCAGACCAGGTGGCTTAAAACTCACGCTGGGCGCCTGTGCGTGCATGCCCAAGATCCCGAGAGGAGAATGGAGGAGAAGGGATTGCGGCGTGACCATCCCCCCTGGGGGGTGATTTCTCACTTTCTGTCTCTATGTCTCTGTCTGTCTAGTGAGCGCACGCGCCCTATAGCGAAAAAAACCTCTCCAAAAAAAAAAAGCAGCCCCCGAGGGCTTCCAAGGTTGTATTTTAATCGCTTTTTAGTTCTTTCTAGATACACTGTTGGGTTTTTTTTCTGATATGAAAAGGGCAAATCCCCCTTCTTCCATCTAGAGGGCTGAGCACCTCCTAGCTCCCCGGAGCTTTGAGAAGGTTTCAGGCCCCAGGCCTCATATTGTGGCTGGTGGGTCAGTCCCGTCTGACTTTCACAGTCCCTCAAACAATACAGTGTTCTGCAGGGTAGGGACCAGGGATTTTTTTTTCTCTAAAGTGGGCATGGGGCCTGCATGTCCACCAGTTAGTAAACTACCAGTCTCTTTACCATATGGAAAAGGTGAGGGGTTTGCTAATTTATTAATAGTTATTAAGTGAAAAGTCACATGAATCCTGTTGGCTTTAGCAGAAGGCAATCCTCAGGCATGCTAATTTCTTTAGGATTTCACGTGCCAATTCAGCCATGGTTTTCTGAGCATCAGCAGGCCCCAGGTACACGCTCCTTTCTCCTCTGGGAACCCTGTCTCCACTTTCAGCTCCTCCCCCAATTTGGACCTTGTCAGAAGCCCCACGTGTGTCAAAACTAGAGTGTAGCTTCCTGTTCCTCATTGGCAAGGGGGCCTCCCTTAGAACTTTGCAAGTGTTTACGTGGGTCTTTGTTTGAGTTTAGACCCATAATTTAAGAAAGCGAATCATTGATTTTGGATTTTTAAGCAAATAGACAAAGCTTTAAATAGACAGAAAAGAAGTAGATGACATGGGCTCCTGGGTCACAGAGCAAGCCCGGCCTTGGCTCCACGCAGGGCCTGGGACTGTGCTCTGAACCTAGGTAGGAGGTGGGGTTTGACAGATGTACTGGGCATGCGGTTGAGCAGCAGCCTAGCATATCTGAAATCAGATTTCTGGGGAATCCCATGTGTGGTTAAGATTCTAGGGTGTTAGGGGCTGATGTTAGGAGGGGCTTTTAGGAAGTAACTAGGTTAGATGAGGCCGTGAAGGCAGAGCCCCATGATGGGATGAGTGCTACTATAAGAAGAGAAAGAGACTAGAGTTCTCTGTCTTGCTTGTGGAGATGGAGTGAGAAGGTAGCTGTCTACTGGCCAAGAATCACCAGACAGTGGACTTCCCAGCCTCCAGAACCCTGAGAAATAAATGCTGTTTAAGCCACTCAGTCTGTAGGATCAGTATTTTTGTTATAGAAGCCCAGACTGACTAAGACACAGGCAGTCATCATTCAGAGCTAAGTCCCAGATAAGAGCAGATCAAAGGGAAGCCCCAGCCTTCATGGACTTGAGCCTCAGATCTGCGAAATTCTCTCTCTTGTAAAGTGTATTTATTTCTTCCATAAGCAAGAGAGACAGAGACAGAGAGACAGCACCCTCATTGGGGCCCTGACATCACGATCCACCCCCAGCTTCAGCCAGTCTTGGATCATGGGCAAGCATATGGCTGGCATACTCGGTGAGGTCTCTGGACCTGAACCAGGCACCTCCCATGTGAGGTCGCCTCACAGAACATCAAGTTTTACTGCCAAACCCCCATATCTGTCACCCCACACCATCCAGCCCCCACAATTCTCTTTTATTTGATCCCCACCTCTTCCTTGCTGCCCCCATTGTGGTACTGCCTCTCATCATCTTCCCTGTCCCCAGCTCCCACCTGAATCTCACCAGCCTGCCACCTGTATCAGGGACCCAGGTTCAGCTGCAAGACTGTTCTCGCTGCTGCTCCCCTTCTTCTTTCTCCTGCGTGCATGCTGGGATGAATGGTGAGTGGATGAGAGAGTGATGGCACAGCTGTGAGGTCTCATCGACACCCTTCTCAGTGCCATTCTCAGTATCCTGGATAGTCACCCGTCGCCACTTGTCCTTAACCGTCCACGGGTTCAGGACCTTCCCCTCCCTCTTCTCCCTAAACTTTGTTCGGTCCCTCATAGTACACTTCTACAGCACCCTGTACGTCTCCTCCAACATGCCTACTACACTTGTAAACAGTCATCTCATTCCTTTTTCAGTTGCGTTCTTCTCTCTCCTGTTTCCATTTCGATGTTAAACTCCAAGAGGTGGAAATCATAATAACTATCCTGTTGATCACTCTACCTCTAGTGCCTGGGAGCCTAGCTCAGCAAATATTCATGGAACGAGTGAATAAATGAATGAAGCAGTGAGTTACTGTCTCTTACCCCAAAGATGTATGGTGTTTTGTTAGAGACACACACATGAACTAGATCTGTCATTGCCTTTGAGCAGCTCCCAGGCCAATGGGGAAATGAACCTGGCATTTATGCAGCTTATCTGGCTCTTATCAATACTGGAAAAAGGGGCTATGGCTGAAGTGGAGGCCAGGACGTGGAAATCGGTCATGCCCTGGGAACAAGGAGGAAACTCACCAGTGTTGGTAGGCTCTGAGCTGGATCTGAAAAATTAGTGAAATTTTTGAGGGCAAGTTGCCAGGGAGGGGACAGCCAGGAGAGGAGCAACATGGACAAGGCACAGGAAGGCCACAGTAGGTGAAGTGCTTGAGAAGCTGGCAGAGAGGAAGAGCCTTTGAGAGGAGGAAAATAAGGCTGTCAGGGACCCAGATGAGGAAGACTGAGAGTGCTGGGCCAAGGACTTTGGAGTGACCCTACAGCTAAAATGGGCTGGTTTTTACATAGGGAGCTGTCAGATCAAGAAGAGATCGTTCGAGCAGGTTGTCTTTAACACCAAGGCTTGGAGGGAGATTGCAAAACATTGGGGGCAAGTAACTATAGCAGCAGTCCCTCCAGAGGGACCCTTTGTCCACTCAACCCTGCCACCAAGGCCAGCGGCAGAGACCTGGGGAACCATTCGGCCAATGCCCATTCCTCTTGGCTCCAGGGAAACCTGTCTCTACCCCCTGGCCTGTTTGTCTCCAGCCAGGAGCCAGTGGGAGACCCTTCCTGAGAGGTAACCCACTGTTTCCTGCTTTCCATTTCAGATCATGGGATTTTTCTCTCACTTGGCTGTCCCTGGATCTTAATCTTCAGTGCATCTCCTCATCCTGCCCCATCCTCCCTGTCCTGGAATGTCCCTTCTGGCAAGTTGCTTGTTTTATTCCTCCTCTTCTCACCATTCTTCTTGTTTTGCCACAAAAATAATATGTGTTCTCTCTAGAAACCTCTGAAAACAGAGATAAACAAACACAAAGAAAAAATTACCCTGAATTCTACACTCCAGAGATAACCTCTTTTAAGAGCTCTGACTACAGTATGTTCTGCCCCCTTCTGTGCTGGTGTGTAAACATGTTTTCCCCATCTTTATCAGGATGATTATTATAATTATTACTTATTGTAATGTTGAAATTTAAGTAAATATATTTTTTAAAAACAACAATGGAATGAAATATTCTCTTTATAGCCAGCCTTTTATTTTTTTGAAAGCACCAGGTCTCCCTTGATGAGGTGGTTCAGAGGACAGATTCCCCCAGGGGGCCACCTTGTGAGGGCTCAGTGTGATACCATTGTATCTTAGTCCTTTTTTTCCCTTTGTTCTTCATAGAGCATATGCTCATGCCTAGGAGAGCAAGAGAGAAAAAGAGAGAAAGGAGCATCCTCCATGGGGTCTGGTCATGCTGACATTCCTTTTCTCCAGTCCTTCAACTCCTTGATCCTGGGTACTCGTGCTCATGCCTGATGCATTTCAGGCTGACCAGGCCAGGATTCAAGCGACAGTCACTATGTAGGACATGGCTTCTCTTGAGTAGTGCATTACCACTGCACCACAGAACCCCATCTTTATGAATTCTAGCCTGCATCAGGATGCAGGGACAAAGAGACATCTTAGGTACCATTTATTCTTCCTACTGTTAGCATGTGTTATTCATAATCATTAACTAAACAATGATGGTTTATTAAATGAACTAAATTATGAGCCATTAATAATCACAACAATCCTGTCAGGGAGGTGTGATTTTCCCTATTTTATAGATGACCGACATTAAATTTATTGCATAGGGTTATACAGCAATGTAAAAACAATCCTAAGGTGTGGATGCAGGTCTCCAAGCCCAGTGCTCTTCATCAGTCCATTCTGCCATCTCTCATTAGTTTATGTCTCTTTTAGTTCCTGGCCAGGGTACTAATGTGACTTTGATAGTGTGTGGGAGTTTGGAGGGTGATGATAAGGATGGGACACATAGTGGGCAATGGGACTACCCTAGCCTATGTGTAGTGATGAGCTGGCTTAACAAACAGATCTCAGAGAAACAGCCTTGATCTGTGTAGCACTTGCCAATTCCTATGGTGTAAATACTCTCACCAGAGCTAATTTCATGCTACCCAGGAGATGTCCCTGAATGTGAAATGGAGAAGAGATGGGCAGTAGCCACCATTATATGATATTTCCACCCCACAGATACAATATTTGCAAATAACCTCAAGAGCATGGAGAGTAGTAAAATGTAGTAGTTAGGAAGTCAGAAGTTGTAAAACATAATATAATGTATTAATGATGTTTATAAAATATAATTGTTAACTCTGGCCATATTTAACAACTGGCTTTCAAAATTCCTGAAATTTGAGCCATTTCTAGTACATCATTATGCTATTTATCTGAAGATTAGTAAAAGGTGTCCCCTCTGGTGGGCATTGCCACGTGCAGGTTACCTAGCTCCATCAGTGGACTGGGGGCTGGAAATAAGCTCCCATTCTCTTCTTCCATGGGACATCCCGCAGACACAGCTGTACACGGTGGTCCTTGGGGGAGTGGGTAACAGACACTTAAAGTCAGCATTATCCTGTGGAACCCCTCAAAGATGGAAGGCTCTCTATATACCCTCTCCAAGATGGTAGCTACTACCCACCGGTGGTTACTGAGCACCTGAGGCATGACTTGGGCAATGGAGACACTGAATTTATATTTGTGTGTGTGTTTTGTTAACATAAACATTGCGACCTTAACCATTTTCCATGGACAGCGCTGTGGCATTAAGTTTATTCATCCTGTTCTGCAAGCATTGTCACCATCTGTCTTAGAGCCTTTTCACCTTCCCTAACTGAACTCTGTACCCATTAAACACTCCTCATCCTTACACTGTGTTCTCAGAAGACCTCCCCCGCTCATGGGTGTGGTCCTTCATGGGTGTGGCCTCCATGAGGGTTCCTGCTGCTGTGGAATGGGAGAGGTTATGGTTCTGTAGCTGCCCTTGCCTGGGAATGGGGATGTGAGGCAGGATGCTTTCTGAGTAGTAACAGGCCTCAGGGCCTTTGCTTGGAGGTCACCCAGCTCGCTCCAGGCCTTTCTGCACCAGGTGAATCACGAGTATAAAGGTGGCTAAGCACGTGGTCTTCTTACAGAGTTTTGATCTAGATGTTTCCTGGTGGTTGAGTGCCTCCTTGGAATCCCCTGTGGTCACCTTGAGTTGTCCATTCACCTCTGAGAAAGGGATGAGGCTAGAGATGGACATAAAAGTCTGGATACTGCAAAACGCCTGGTGAAGTTTAAAAACATGTCTCCTGGGACCAGCAGATGGCATAATGGTTATATTGCTGGACTCCCACGTAGTTGACCACGGTTCAAGTCCTGGACCCTGTGGCTTAAAATTCCCTTTGGGTGCATGTGCGTGCATGCCCAAAATCCCAAGAGGAGAACAGAGGAGAAGGGATTGCGGTGTGTCCATCTCCCCGGGGGTTATTTCTCACTTCCTGTCTTTCTGTCTCTCTGGTGAGCACATGTGCCCTATAGCAAAAACTTCTCTAAAAAACAACAAAAACAAAAAACACCCAAACATGTCTGTCTACAGTTTTGGAGCACATCGGTTGAGGGCAAGGGTGTTGGTCTCACACAGAGCTGAGTTTTAATCCAGGCCCTGTGCCTGACTGATTGTATAATCTGGGTTAGTCTTTAATTTCTCTAAGCATCTGCTTCTTCATCTGAAAAGGGAAATTTGGGGTTATTAGGAGTATGAACTTAGACAACATGGGTCCCGTATAATAAGTTCTCAGTAAGTATTAAAGGATAGTAGATTGTATTACACTTCTCATTTTTAAAAAAGAAGGATCATTTCTTTATTTCCATTAGAGAGAGAGACAGTCACCCTGAACAGGTCCCCACGCCACACTCCACCCCCAGTCTCAGTAGGTCCTGGATCACGGGCATGCACCTGGCATGTTCAGGGAAGTCTCAGGATGTGAGCCAAGGACCTTTCCCATGTGGTTCCAGTTGTGTTACCCCTGTGCCTCCACCTGGCCCCAACAGTGATTCTCATTTGTAGTCAGCTAACCAGATTCTTTCCATATATATATATTTTTTTTTCACGGTTGTAGATATTGTGTGCTTCCTGAGTCCATGGGGCATAGAGGATTCTGGGAATTTCCCCAAGGCAAGGGAGCAGCCCAGAGGCACTGGAGGAGCTAGAAGAGCCATCTGCAGAGTCCCCTCCTGGCTTTCTCATTTCAGCTCCAGCGGACGACCCTTCCTGCTCTATGTGGGCCTGGCGCACATGCATGTGCCCTTATCTGTGACCCAGCACTCAGAAGATCCAGGGGGCCAAGGGTCATACAGTGCAGGTCTCCAGGAGATGGACAGTCTGGTGGGCCAGATCAAAGACAAAGTTGACAGCACAGCCAAAGAAAACACGTTCCTCTGGTTTACAGGTAAAGCAGTAAAACCTAGCCAGCCTAACTGCAATCTAATGGATAACCCAGTACACGCCCCTGAAGAGCAGAGTCTGGTCAAGTGAGTCTTTCAAATGGGGTGGGTCTTGCTTTCAACTTGGATCCCTATAATGTTTGACTTGAATGCTGAGCACCTGTCCATTGGGCCTTCAAGGCTGAGTTGACCCAAAGTTTTGCACAGACAGAGTGGGCCCTTGCTGCCCTCTTCTGTACTGATTAAGGCTTCAGGGCTATTACTCTCATTTGGTGAATGGCTTTGATGTTGTGAACCTGTGTAGTCCTGGGCAATTTTTTTTTTTTTTTTTGAGAGGCTTTTGCTATAGGGCATGTGCGTTAAGCCAGAAAGACAGAAAGAGACAAACAGAAAGCGAGAAATCACCTGCCAGGGAGGATGGCCACACCGCAATCCCTTCTCCTCCATTCTCCACTCGAGATCTTCAGCATGCACGCACACGTGCCCAGCGTGAGTTTAAGCCACTAGGTCTGGGACTTGAACCGCAGTCAACTACATGGGAGTTCAACAATGTAGCCATTATACTATTTGCTGGTCCCAGTCCTGGACAATTTAAATTTTTCCTCTTCACGCCATCCTCCCTGGTCTCAAGACTCCCGTTGATGCTGGACATCAGGCCACATCCTTTGGCTGAGTGACCTTAGTGGACCTGAACCAATGACCCCTTTAAAGGACCCACACATGCTTCAAGTGTCCCAGGTCCCTCTCTGGAGTGAGGAAGCTTAAAAGCACTGGTTTCCATCCAAGTAGAGCCTTGGGTTTGAACCTAACTATATTCTGTTATTGGGAGAGTTACCTTCTGTATCTTGGCCTCTACTCTCTTATCTGCAAAATTGAGCAGATAATTGAATCTACTCTGTAGGACTATGAGATGGCATATGTGAAGCACTAGGAACATGATAGGTGCTCATTAAACAGTTGGGCTGATGCTGGTGACAGTGGTAACGGGACTGTAAAATGATGTGGTAGTTAAGGCTCTGGACTCCTATGTGGCCGGCTGTAGTTCGGGTCCTAGACCCAGTGGCTTGAAACACATGGAGCATGTGTGCATCCATGCCCAAAATCCTGAGAGGAGAATGGAGGAGAAGGGATTGCAGTGTGGCCATCCCCCTGGTGGGGGGGGTGATTTCTCCCTTTCCGGTTCTCTGTCTCTCCCTGTCTCTCTGGTGAGCATACATGCTGTACAGCAAAAATCTCTCTCTCAAAAAAAAAACTATATAAAAAGACAGAGAAAAGGTAGGAGATTTGAGAGCAGGCTAACCTTCGGGCAGGGGAAAGCCACCTTCTGAAAGCCCAGGAGAGACAGGCCTCACATGCAGGGTAGTTCTTCAAGATCAGGGATCATGTTTATTTCTACTAGTTCTCCTATCCAGTCTCCTGCTATGCATGGGGCCAGAGAGGGAGAGTGGGTGAACACGTTCACGCAGCCTGTTGACCAATGTGTGTTGCTTTTTCTGGTTTCTAGGAGACAATGGCCCATGGGCTCAGAAGTGTGAGCTGGCTGGCAGCATGGGTCCCTTCACTGGATCGTGGCAAACTCGTCAAGGTAGAGGCTCCAGGGGGGTCGGAGGATCCCACTGTAGGTGCCGCCCAGGCTGGGGAGAGGAGGCATCAGTGCGAGATAGTCCTCTGGGAGGATCACCTTATCTCTCGGCTTCAGGAGTGTCTGTGTGAGATAGACATGCAGCTGTTCACCAGACCCCGGCTCCCAGGGAAGAGGCAAGCTGGGATGGAGAGGAAGTGTCTGTCCAGCCTGGAATCCCTCTTTCTTCTCCTCCCAGCCCTCTCCTGACAAGCCAGTCCGTGGACCTTCAGTGACATTGTCTTTATTTTCATCCCTTCTTCTTCGTCCCTTTCTTCTTTGCTTTTTTTTTAGTCATCTCCCCGTCCATCCAACCATTCATTTATTTCATTCATTCAAGAAATGCTTAGTGCACTACGCTGCATGGTTTCTTGTATATATTCTCTCTAAACCTTAGAGTAGCAAAAGGTAGCTCCACTTACAGATGAAAAAAAAAGAGAAGTTACGTGACTCGCCCAAGGCCACACACTTTGTGAGGACAGAGCCAGACTTGCCACTGGCATGAAAGCTGTTGCTCTCCCCATGACACCGTAGCCTTCAAGGCTGTGTCTGTCTCTATTTACACATCCTTTGGCTTCCAGCTCGGCTTCCATCTGCTCTGAGAAAGCATCCCCCCAAGGATTTCCCTTTCTGAGAGAGTAGCCATGCCGGGGAAAATTTGGCATATGGACCAAAGGCTTAAAACACGTGTATGCCTTTGATGTGACAGTTCCTCTTGTAAGAAGAATTAGCCAAGTGTACAATGGTGCATGTATTGTGTTGTCGGAAACATCCTAATGCATTTTGCATAGTAGTAATAGAAAAGAATAGGACATGACTTTTCCTTCGACCCAATAGAAACATTCTCATTGCAGTAGTTTCTTTTGTGAATAGTCAGACATATACCCAATGGGAAGACTTACAGAAATTAGGATACAATGATTTAAAGGGAATACTAAAGAATCTTTGAAATCATGTGTATTTATTGACCTGGAAACATTTCTGGAGAGAGAGATTTTTTGCTCTAGGGCGTGTATGCTTGCAAGAAAGACTGGGAGACAGAAAGTGAGAAATCATCCTCCCCTCACCCTGGGAAGATAGCCATATCGCAATCCCTTCTCCTCTATTCTTCTCTCAGGAGTTTGGACACACCCACACACGTGCCTGGTGTAAGTTTCAGGTCTCTGAGTCCAGGACTCGAACTGTAGTCAACTACGTGGGAGTCCAGTGATGTAACCATTATACCATCTGCTGGTCCCTGGAAACATTTCTATTAAATATTTTTCAGTGAGTACAGCAAGTTATTGGGTTGTCGGAAATGTCACAATACATTTTTTTTCTGTGCAAAAATGCGTCATCATTTTTCCAACAACCCAGTAATGACAATAGATAAAGTATAATTTTATTGTATGAAAATAAGCTTATCTATTCGCGGAAAAATCTGGAAAGAGGCAACAAATGGTACAGAACATTAGTAGTAATTACCTCTGGGTGGGAGAAAGAGGGTTTAAGTGTGATTTTCCCCCCCATGACAAACTGGTAGTCTATGTACAGCCTACGGAATGAAGATAAATATCATAAACATTTTACTAAAATAAACCCAGTCACAGGGACACATGCTGTAGAGGTGCTCTGCTTTGCAGGCTGGGACCTCTCTTCTAGTCCTGATTCAACCTAAAGGTGAGCATCGTGCCACTGAACTCTGGTCCCAGCTACGTGGGAGGCTGAGGCAAAAGGGTTCCGACCCAGCGAGATCCTGTTTAAAAAGTAAAGTAAAATAAAATAAAATGAAGTGGTGAAGTACAATTTTTAGAAGGTGCTTGTACGTGAGTGGTTCAGTGGTGGGCCTGGCAAGATTACCCAGAATGTCCATCGGAGGCTGTGGTTTTCTTGCTGCCCAGCTTACTCCTGAGCTGCAGCCCCAGGTACCTGCTGATCGTTCGTTTTTATTTTTATACTTTAACAGGTCAGAAGACACTCCCCACTCCTTGCCCTCTTCTCCCCTCCCATCTTACCACTTCATAGGAATCTGGAAGGATATATTATATATATATAATTTTTTTAAAAGAGAAGTTTTTGCCTTAGAGCATGTGTGCTCAATGAAGAGAGAGAGACACAGTGAGAGGGAAAGTGAGAACTCACCACCCTGGGGAGATGGCCATGCTGTAGTTCCTTCTCCTCCACTCTCCTCCTGGGATCTTGGGCATGCATGCACATACACCCAGCATGATTTTCAAGCCACCAGGTCCGGAACTCGAACGGCAGTGGCCGTGTGGCATAGATAACCGCTATGCCATCTGCTGGCAGGATATTTATAGTTACCTAGAAACCAGAGCATTCCTGTGTCTCACGTCTGGTGAGGAGGAGGACCCCCTGATGATTCGCTTTTATTTTTACACTTTAACTTGGTGTTGCCTGGATCAGGTCCATTGAGAACTTTCTGAGTGAGAGGTTGCTGGGCAGTGGCCATGGCTCACATCTGGAAATCTGAGTCAGGAGAACTGGGTACCACCTCTTCCAACCAGCTCAGCGACTGAACTGTGTTATCTCTTGGGGTCTTGGTGTTTCTCTCTGTTGATCTCTTTGGTTCCCTCCAGTTCAAGAATGCTGGATTTAATTCTCATTCTTGGAGAGAGAGACAAAGAGTCAGGAGAAGATGCAAGAGAGAACTGGAGTGGGTACAGCTGTGGCTGATGTCTTCAAGCATCAAGAGCTTAGAGAAGTATGTTGGGAATTCTTTGTTACAGCAGCTGATTATAATTCCTTCCTGTGGGCCCAGGCTGGCATCTTCAGTACTCAGTTAGAAAGCCTGAAAGAGTCTGGGATTGAATGCTTAATGGTACAGTGCAGAAGACTGGAGACCAGGGACGTGGAGGTAAAGTTCTGTAATAGAGGGCTTCTCTTCAGGCATTGCTTAGTTCCCTAAGAGACCAACTGATCTGTCTGTGGGCCCACTTTATCTGTCCCTGTCCCTCTTGTGAGGCAGCTGGAAATAGTGATTCCAATTTAAGGACTTGGACTAGAGCTCCATTGTTCAAGGGAAGAAGTTTCTTTGATGAAAAATTCTTTTTGTTGTTGTTTCAGGTTTTTGCGATAGGGCGTTTGCACTTGCCTGAGAGAGACAGAGGGAAAGTACCCCCTGGGGGATGGCCATGCTGCAATAATCTTCTCTAGTTTCTTCTCTGAATTTTGGGCATGCACACACATATGTCTGGAGTGATTTGTTCAAGCCACCGGGTCTGGGACTTGAATCACAGTCGGCCATGTGGGAGTCCAGCACCTTAACCACTATGTTACTTGCTGGACCCCAAGAAATTCATTTACTAGCTGGACAACCTTCATTTCTCCTTTCCTCCCTTTCTCCTATAAGCATTTGTTGAGCCCTAGTGTGTGCCAGAAACCATGTTCAGTGATGGAGACACAGAGATGAACAAAATTGCTGTCTAGAATTGTTTCTATGACTTTAATTTGCAAACAGTTCCCTGGGGATCCTGCCAAAATGAGGAGGTCTGGGCTGGGGGTACAGATCTTGCATTTCTGAGATGCTCCTAAATGATGCTTGTCCAGGGACCACACTTTGAGAACTACCAATCGTGAACACTCAAGTCTAGACCAGATGAGTGTGGAGTCATACAAGTCCAGAGTGGCATTTCAGTGGCATCAGCCTTATCTGAGAACTTGTTAGCAATGCTCCTTCCAGGACCTCGCCCAGACCTACTGCATCAGAAGGGCGGGGCGGCGAACGGTCCCGGCAAACTGTGTTTGAACAAATCCTCAGGTGATGTTGATGCAGGTTAAAATTTGATAAGCTAGACACTAGCCACCAGTGGTATTGAACTTAAAATTAGAACACAGTTCCTTAGTCACACTCACAACCCTCCCAGCTTAGTAGCCACATGCAACTAGTGGCGACCATATTGGATTGTGCAAGTAGGCTTCCTTGAGGTATTTGAGTTTTGCAGAATCAGTAAAAAAGCTAGGAATGGCAGGTGGTATAGTGGGTAAGGGCACTGGACTCCCCCATGGCTGACTGCGGTTTGAGTCCTGGATTTAGTGACTTTCCTACTCACTTTCTCTCTCTCTCTCTCTGGCTCACTCTGTCCCTCTCTGGTCAAATTAAAATAAATAAATAGAGATAAATAAAATAATTCTTTTAAAAAGAAAAAAAGAGCCAGGAATCTGCAGAGGAGGCGGTTGTGGGCCAGAGTAGGATGACCAGAGAGGAAGGGTTCTCTGCATCTGTGTAGGTGTTTGTATATCTGAAGCTCGTACATTCTACCTGGAGCAGGTAGAATAGGAGAGAGATGAGGCTGGCCTTTGGAGACTTTTTTGTTTTCCTTTCCTTTCTTTCTTTCTCTTTCTTTCTTTTTCTTTCTTTCTTTCTTTCTTTCTTTCTTTCTTTCTTTCTTTCTTTCTTTCTTTCTTTTTTTTTATCTTAGAAAGAAATGTGGAATCATGGAAGGATTTTAAGAGTGAGAGTGACATCCGGTTATAAAACTTGAGTCAAAATTCACATCACATAAAATTAGTTATTTTAAATTGTACAGTTCAGTGGCATTTAATTTAGCATGTTTACAGTAATGGTGCAGCCAACACTGTCTAGTTCCAAAACATTTTCAACACCCAAAAGAAAGCCCCATACCCTTTAATTAGTTGCTCCCCATCCCCACCTCCACCCCCAGCACATTATTTAATTTTAAAAGATCCCTCTTGGAGCCAGCAGGTGGCATGGTGGTTAGGACACTGGACTCCCACATGGTCGACCATAGTTTAAGACCCAGATCTGGCGGCTTGCTTTCTTACTCTGTGTGTGTGTGTGTGTCTTTGGTGAGCATATGTGCCCTATGGCAAATGAATAATAATAAATTAATTAATTATAAAAAGATCCCTCTCACATCAGCAGACTGAGACTAGGAAGAGGGTTAAGTACTAGACTAATTTCTACTGAGTCAAGAATCATAAATGAGAGAAGCCGGTGACAAAAA